AGCTGTAAGGGGGTACTTAAATTTCGAGCAGAAATCTGGGCAGAGTACAAATCTCCGAGTCTCAGAAATCTGAGTAGAAGCCAAATCTGCGCCAAGCAGAAATCTGGCTGAGAGCCAAATCTGCGCCTATGGCCGAAAACCAAATCTGCGCCGCTGACCTAGCTAGCGCGTGCTACCGGCGCATCAATCCCATGTCAAAAACAATTACAGTCACTGGGATTGAGAAAGCGATATTATATTATATTATATTATATTATATTATATTATATTATATTATGTCCCGGTAAACAGTAAAACTTTTAAGCCACTAGGAGGATAAATACAATGTTTATCAGATGTCTTGAATTACAAATAAACACGTACAGATAGGATAAGCTCTGACGTGACTAGCAAAGGTCTTCAGGCTCATGGAACTTCAAAGTCACACCTTGAAAATGCCAATATGTGAAAAATTAAATTTTCACAAAAAAACTATTTAATTGCCAGAAAAATTTACTAAACAGACTGCAGTGCCTACTGAAGCTGTATTTTAGCCCCATGTTTCTTTCCTGTAAGTTTGAGAACAGTAAGTGACATGATTTTCCTTAAATGGTCATCATGGGAGCAGTGCCCAAAATAGGGGTTTCTTCAAATTTTGATGCAATATTACATAATGTTTAACAGCATAATGACCATCAATTTTTAATAATAAAATATTAGTATCATGGATATTCAGAAAATCCGACTAGCAAAGGTCGTCAGGACCATGGCACTTCAAAGTCACATCTTGAAAATGCCAAAATGTAAACGAGACAGCACTTTTCTGAAATGGGTTTATTTCCATTTTTAACACTTTTTTAACATAAAACAGAATTAACAGTTTACTGCCATTTTTATATGACCAACTAAGAAAATTGATGAGATGGGAAAAAAATTCAATAGAACAGTGTAAAATGTCCAATTTCCTCCATTCTGAGATTCTGAACATAGTGGATGATTGAATCTGACAAACTGCAATGGTATGTGTTTATTTCCATTTTTGACACTTCATTACACAATACACAATAACAAATTTACCATCATTTTTACAAAATCAACTGACAATGTTGTAAAAATGCAGGAAATGTCAAACAAACACTTTTACGTATCTTATTAGTTCAATAATGAGACTATTAACATGCCTAAGAATTGAATCTGAGGAAATGTGAAAAAAAAGCATAACTTCTAAAATAATGGCCCGATTATGCTGATTTTCATACTCAAGCTATGTTTTAGTAAGATTGACCACTCCTGTGAGTACAATGACAATTGGCCAATCTGTTTTTCTTATATTGTGTTATCAGTGTTGCATATATGCTGAAAAAAAATGAAAAAACAGCATAACTTCCCTAAAAAAGACTCTATCATGCTGATTTTCGAACTTGACCTGCGTATTATAAATACTCATCAGTTCGGTAAGTTTCAAACCAAAAGGTAAAACCGTTTTCCACTTATCGTGTTTACAGTGTTGCATATTTGCTGAAAAAAGTGAAAAAAAAACAGCATAACTTCCCTAAATATGGCCCGATCATGCTGATTTTCGAACTTGACCGGCGCATTATGAATATTCATCAGTTCTGTAACTTTCAAGCCAAAAGTGCACGCCAACGGCGACGGCAACGGCGACGGCGACGACAGACGCAGATGATGGCTATATGTACAGACACATCTGTGTCTGTACATAAAAAACAGCATAACTTCCCTAAAAATGGCCGGATCATGCTGATTTTCGAACTTGACCTGCGTATTATGAATATTCATCAGTTTTGTAAGTTCCAAGCCAAAAAGTAAAATGGTTTTCCACTTATCGTGTTATCGGTGCTGCATATATGCTGAAAAAAAGTGAAAAAACAGCATTAATTCCCTAAAGTGACCCGATTATGCTGATTTTCGAACTTGACCTGCGTATTATGAATATTCATCAGTTCTGTAAATTTAAATACAAAATGTAAAACTGTATTCCACTTATCGTATTATCGCTGAGTGCACGGCGACGGCGACGGCGACGGCAACGGCGACGACAGACGCAGGTGACGGCTATATGTACAGACACATCTGTGTCTGTACATAAAAAGAAGCTAAAATATCAGAAGGGATTGTGAATTAACATGTCAACTTTTAAAGAATATATTGTTTAACGGATTATATTATATTATATTATATTATATTATATTATATTATATTATATTATATTATATTATATTATTGTTGTGTTTCTTTATTTAACTGCCGAAACATGGTATATAATGTAAAAAAAAATGCTGCCACCATCAGTCTTTATTTCCTCTTACTACTGAAAGTTCTTGTACGACTTCAATGTTAACTAAGACTGTTATGTAAAGTTCTAAGTTTATAACTGCATAACTCGATCTAAAACTAACTGTAAAGCAACCACTCTTCTATCCCGCTTCTCTAGACTACTCTACTTCCTCTACTATCTTCGACTATATCCTCAACACTACTTTATGTCGCTGCCCTATACAGTGTATATGCAACAGAAGCTCAAGCGCATGCAGTCCGCCCTGTTCCCCATTGACGGGAATTTGGTAGCACTCTAATCTCCGCGTCTCAGAAAACTGGGCAGAGTCCAAATCTCCGCGTCTCAAAAATCTGGGTAGAAGCCAAATCTGCGCCTGGTAGAAATCTGGCTGGGAGCCAAATCTGCGCCTATAGCCGAAAACCAAATCTGCGCCGCTGACCTAGCTAGCGCGAGCTACCGGCGCATCAATCCCATGTCAAAAACAATTACAGTCACTGGGATTGAGAACGCAATATTATATTATATTATATTATATTATATTATATTATATTATATTATATTATATTATAGGCCCTATTATGTCTCAGTAAACAGTAAAACTTTTAAGCCCTTAAGAGGATAAATACAATGTTTATCAGATGTCTTGAATTACAAATAAACACGTACAGATAGGATAAGCTCTGACGTTTTGACTATATCCCATAGACTTCGTCATAGAGCCTACCTTCAGTGATTAAATTCCGTCATCCGCGGACCCCCTTCAAATAATCTTGGATTCGCCCCTGTCGTCCGTACCTTAATACAGAGAAATGATAAAGAGAGGCCGAAAAAATGTTTTTTTTTATTTCAGTATGTATTTTATTCACTTGTTATCTAATATTGATATTTAGAAATAACAAAGAAGTCAAGTAAAAATCCAATTTTTATGAGCTTACAAATGCTGAACATTGAGTCCTATTTACATGTACACGCTTTCAAGAAATTAGAACTGTCTGTAAAAAGGAAAAAAATTGAAGCTAAAATTTTATATCTGTTAATTAATTTTGCCTGACCAAAAATGTTTTTCTCATACGTGTAGGCCTATGCATTAACCGAAATTAACCTTTGTACGATTTTCAGTGCATTTCGCAGGATTATTTTCAATTTGCCACGTGGCGTACTTCTTTTATCAAAAGTCAATCAGCGGAGTGGGTATCCCTTTGGGACGACACATAACAGAGATAACGCTCTCCTTACGAAAGGAATCCCCTTACATTATAGACAAAACCAATGCCGTCTTTAGCACGTACAGTGAATCTAACTTTCAAGAATATTTTAACCCTTCACCCATAGCTCCTTATTTACTGCCTTACATACATTCTTTTGGGTAAAGCATAAATCATCTGTGTTCAGTGACTAAATTAATTAACGTTTACATAAATGTCATCTTACGGGTGAAATCATAATTGCAATTTTGGGGTAAAAACTGAAAAATCGGTCTCTCAATTTTTTTTTCACTTTAGGACCCACGATTACCGTTTCAACGCCAATTTAATGACACCATTTAGTACTCCAAAACCCTGCCAGCAATTTTTCTTAAAAGTCTAGATTTTATCGTTAATAATTATATAAGGCAAAATAATACCTCGATCTGTTAAATGAAAATCTGTAATTAGGGGTTCATACATTTTACTCCATAAAAATTTTTAAACCGAAATGACGGCACGGGATTGTAGCTTATACATTTGTGGTTAACTCTGCCAATTTTCGTGATAAAATCTTGTTCAGGGATAAAGTTACGCCCCATACCGATTGCTAGCTCACCTCAAAATAGAAAGGTGTTAAATTGACGATTTAAAGCTTTGAGTTGTAGGTTACATTGCAACGAAAAAAATAGGCCTAAACACCGATAGGCCTAGTCCCTATTTAATATTTTCGAGGGTTTTTCTTATTGTTTTAAATCAGCACTAGATGCATATTATTGAAATGAGACCAATGGGATCATTCAGATCAAGAAGAGCCGAATGCTTGCTAGGCCGCGACCTTATAATGTGGCGGACCTACATGAAAGGATCCTGTAGGTAATGGTCTCTCTCCGCGCGTTGTCCTCGACCGGTTGAATTGAACCGAGATTTAATTACTGTGCCTCTGCGGGGACAACACATGGGGAAGCATGTGAGATGCGGAGAGACTATTACAGGATAAGCGGTCTTCGTTTCGTGTAGGTCCGCCATATTTAGCTCGCAGCCTTAGGCCTACGGCTCTTCTCGATCTGAATAGTCCCATGACTCCCATTGAATAATTAGATGCAGGAATGAACTCATTTTTGGTAGCTGGATGTTTATAAAGCGCAACAATACATCTAATACAAACATTCAACAACTGAAACGTTTACAATATACTTTTTTAAACGACACCTGAAAGCAAACTAAATAAAATCAACCAAACGTAAACACAGGCAGGCTTTATCAATACGCCAATTTATTTATTTCAAAAGATACGTACGGTTATCGCACATGCGCAAAATCCTGTGGTCGGGAGCGATCGTTAATCCATATTGTTTACTAGAGGAGATTTCTGTGCGATCTAGATAGACAAACACACATTATCACAGTGATATTAAACATATGAGGTCATGGACTTAAACTGGTGGTACTCTGGATATGGACGGTAAGTTACTGTTTCTGGTACTATTTCTTTCAAGATTCAAGGCGGAGTGCAACACTGCTGTTTACTACCGGGTACGGGCAGTACGTTTGGTAATATATTAGGACAAAGCTGACAAGTTGGAATGAATATAGCTCATTGTGTACATATCAAATTTACCAATAACGATTATAACGCCAGCGATCTTCTATACATTGTATAAAATGAACTGTGTAATTAGTACGTGGTGAAAACATAAACGACCATGAACGACGCAATTAATAGGATCACCAGCATGTTTTACTGTCACATATACGCACTGAATTACGACGGTGCCCTTAAAGAAGCTACCGTAAGTATTAAGATATTAAAGTGAAGTTTTTAGAGTGACACTTTTGCGTAAACATTTTCTGTTTCCTTGACAAAAAGTGGACGTCTGGATCAAAATGGCGACGATATCCCCAACCCTTGAAAAGTCTAATCCTGTTTAGCGGGTGCATTTGGTGCGCTAGCTACCAGCACAACTAATACAATGAGCAACTAAACAGGCATGAGTGTGTACACAGAAATGAATGTTCTAACATGGTTTTGTGCATTTGTAAATGACATATTGAATGTTAAAATAATGAAAAGGGGCGCACACCTTACACCTGTGTCCTGCTACAATGAGTAGGCGTTTCAGAGCGTCTGGCTGAAGGGTTAGCGTTTACACTAGCACTGGGCACTGTTTGAAGTTTGTAAAAATGCTGGCTGTGTAGGTCTAACTTAGAACCAAGTATAGTCAGAGAATGTCACTCTCCTATATCCTCTTGTTTACTGGGACCTAATTTTAAATAAATTGTTGACTTACATGTTGCATGAAACACACATACACAAAAGTTGCAGTTAAGGAAGGATTCTAATCACTTTTAAATCTTATATATTGCCAATCTTGAAAGGATGTTTTGTTAATTTCCCCTCTTGTTTTAGTTGCTGCATGTGATAAACTTCTACATAAATATTGTTTTCTATTTCAGGTGCTTACAGCAGACTGAATAGAGAAAATTAGTTGCGTCCCACCATGTGACAGAGATTAAAACATTTCATTCTTGGATTAGGAAACTAAGTTGTCGTTGTTCTCTGTGAAGTTTGATCTTTTGGATTCCAATATGGTGGACAAAAAAAAGGACTGTTTAATAAATAAAAGGTCTGGCTGCCCAGAACAGTTATCTACCAAAAACTTATGTCTGGAAAATGCTAAAACTCGTAACCAATTAGGGGCACCAAAAGGTGTTGATGAGCATCCTCCAGAGAGATTTCCATTTCTGCCTGCCTTTGCTGAAAATTTGATTCATTATTTTCGTAAGTTCAAACTAAATACAGCCAACAGTTATATAAACATTATTGATAAACTTGAAACTCAACTAGCAGATATGGATTTCCTAGGCGAAAATGAATTAAAATCTTATGTTCTTTCTGAGACGAACAGTGATATACTGCCAAATGCCAATGGTGAAAAGGAGAATGATGTTCAATTGTATGTACGTAATACAGGGAATAACAGGATATACTTCAACAAAGAAAGAAAAGAAGAACCATTCATTGAAGATGCTTGTTTTCCTGAAGAATATGTAAGAGAATAACTTGCTTGCTTTTGGTTGATTAATTGTTGCCTTGTGCTTAGAATGTGTTAGTGAAATATAAAATTTGTTTTTCGTAATACCCCTTTAGCGCTGTCTAATTTTTGTTAGTATTAATAACTTGTAAATATTATGCAGAAGAGATGTTAGTTTTAAAATTTGTGTTACTAAAGCAGCTGAAAATCTCATAATAGCAAGGCATGAATTAAAAATTCCATGATTTATAAAAAAGGTAGATTCATCCTTTTTGTCATCAGAGATTAAGAAGAAGTAGAATTTGCAAATATATCTTTTACTTCATTTTTCACTTTTTGTTTTCTACGAATGGACTTATATATTGAAAATGCTTTCACTTCAAAGTGACACATGTTCATAGTATTATTGATGGAATGAAGTCATGCTGCAAGCTGATCAGACCGTATTTATACCTTGCAAGGTCCCTGTATGGTTCGAGTGCACATTTTCAGACAGTTGGAAGTTGGATTTTATACTAGCTGATTCCAATGCCAATTAATGATTGCAACGCTATTTAAATTTTAATTCAAAAATCACACTTTAATGGAAGATTAAACATTCAGGAGTTTACATTCATGAGAAACGAACTTTTCTTCTGAGCATATGAATCTACTTTAGAGTGCATTATCCATGCCTATTTTGTTTAAGCACCTATGTTATTTATACATTTTTGGTCGTTCATATTTATTTTCAAAGCTCACTGAGGGGTATGGATGGAAACTGGTTGGATTCAAAGTTGGACAGGTAAAATTTATTAAAAGTTAATGTCAAGCCTGTGTTATCTGTTAAATACATCTGAAGGATCAATTATTCGTTTTTTTTTCCAGACTGAATCATTAGCGTGGAAGACAGCCATTATGAGATTGGAGACATATTGTGATAGATTGCAGATTTTAATGAAAGGCCATTTTGAAACAAAGTCTATGCATTTCTCATTGGACAGTAAAGGTAGTAATTCCAAGCCATTGCCAGAACAGCAATTAAAACAAGTTTTAGAAAAAATGCTGCATGACAAAAACTTTATGGAAGTACTTCTATTACTGATGTCCTCTTGTGAGATTGACGCTTTAATGAACTATTTAAATAAACAGGTAGTGCCCTCAACTAATAGACGGTGCTTGGGGGGAGATACTAATGGATCCCCGAGTGGAATACCTTGTTTTTTGATAAAACTTTATCGGGAGTTACTCCGGGGAAGACCTAGCATTGTTTTGAAAATAAACCACTTAAAAGCATCGTCACTTAAAGACTTAATTGTCATTGACGAGATTCAAGACATTTTCAGCATCGACAGCACCCAAATATTTCAAAATGTCAAAGAAAGACTGAAAAAGCGACCCAAAGATATGGAACACCATGCAGGTATCAATGTCGACAAAAAACGCAAGTATAAATTAAAAGAAATCAAAAAAACGCTAAAAACGCTACCCGAAGAAAGGGAAGACCCAGTAGGTTTCATCGTCGCCAGAAAACGCAAGTACATATTAGAAGAAATCATACAAACACTGAAAAGGCAACTCAAAGAAATGGAAGACAAAGCGGGTTTCAGCGTCGACAGAAAAAGCATGTATATATTAGAAGAAATCCAAGAAACACTGAAAAGGCTACCCAAAGAAAAGACAGACATAGCAGGTTTCAGTGTTGACAGAAATAGCACCCAAATAATCAAAGGTACACTGAAAAGGCAACTCAAAGAAATGGAATGCCTCGACAGCAAGTGCACCAGTATATTTCAAAAAGTCGAAGAAACACTGAAAAGCGGACCCAAAGAAACGGAAGACAAAGAAGGTTTGGTCAAGCTGTTTGCAGGGTTTTTAACTGTACTGGTTGAGCCGACAGAGATTGAGGAAGTCATGCAAAGGACAGAAATGACACCTTGTATGCGGGAAGAGGCGTCACCACCAACTGCCTTCTCAGACTCGTCTTCACTATCTCAGTCAGAGAGTTTGAGTTCTCTGGAATGGGAGGACCCTCCAACCGATACACTCCGTCAGCTACTAGACACAGCAATGGGACGCGAGCCATTGCCTCCTGATACATCTGTTTCGTTTATTATACAGGTACCTATTATAGATTTAATGGCCAAATCTGACGAGGAGCCAGAGAGAGACTTGTCACAAACTGTGGCTTCAAGTCTAAATGGTTCTGAAACGAAAGAAAATAATCTCACTGAGACCCTGTCTCCAGCGAAAGAAGATGAAAATTATCAAACTTTGGAAAAAAACATTAATTTGGTGCAAATTGTGATTAACCAGCTCACGCTTAAACAGTTTTTTTAGCAGGTGAAAAGATTAAAAATGTAATTTAGTAGCCCTGATTTGATATAATACCCATGGTTGCTGTGTCATCTGTTGAGGGTGCACTCTACCATGCTATTTAGGATGTAAAGTATGATGCAGAAATAGCAAAAATCAGTTCGTTCTTGTTAGGTTCACACCGTAACAGATAAGTGTGTATATTAGACTTTATATTTTGTTTGACTTCGTGAACTGATTTTTATGTACAGACACAGATGTGTCTGTACATATTGCCATCACCTGCGTCTGTCGTTGCCATCGCCGTCGCCGATGCCAGCGCCGTGCACTTTCCTTGTAAACACGATAAGTGGAGGGCAGTTTTACTTTTTGATTTTATATTTACAGAGCTGATGAAC